TCTGGATATGGATTATAGACGTGACCTGTTTTGTATAGATAGACATCAATGAAGTTGTACTGGCCTAGTATTATACGAGCAGCCGGGGATACAATGGAGCAGGGGTCCATCTTCGTGTCCACCAACACTCCTTCGCAATTCAATCTTTTTCCGTTGACAAAACTCCGAGCAATGATTGTGTGAGGCAGTTTATCTCGTACATTGATAGGGCGTTGAGATTCCTTCTTTATCAAACTTGGGAAGTCTTTTTCATTAAGGCAGATGTCTATATCGTGGTCATAAGGTATAAAATCTTTAGTGCGTTGATATCCCATCAAAGAACCGTAGCATAAAAAATATTCTAAGTTGCTATGCGCCATTAATTTCATCCAGTTTCTTAAAAGTTTCTGCAAACGTCGTCGAAATGGGTTGCCTCCACATCCTGGACCATAAAAAGCGTCTTCTGTGAGTTTATTGCTTGGATTTAAAACAGATTCCAAATTATTTTCTGGAACAATTTCTATTTCTATTTTTTCTATCTTCGATCGATGTCTGGTATTTTCGTCCATTTCACTATAATTTTCTTTGTGTGTAATCTTGGCCCGAAAAAAAAGCTGCCTATTCTTATCAGAAATAGCTTGATATTCAGTGAGTAAAATATCATCACGACTGAGCTCTGTGCTATAGTAGTTAGATGTGTTTGAATTGCGCAAACCATAATTGTATATAAGCCATGTTACCCAAAGATAACAAACACACACTAGCCAAATAAGCACGTTCATAGATGTATTTTTACTATAAATTACACACATATTCGATTGTAATATTGTAATATTGTATATTCGATTTCGATCTATTGTACATGCAGGATGAATATAATTCCCCTCATAAAAATCTGATAGCCACCTGGTGTGCTGTCTGGTGGCCTTTCTATTCCCGAATTAGTTACATTATTAACGGAACAACAACAATTCATTCATTTAACACTCTGACAATTAAATGTTAAGATGTTAAGCTAAATTACAAACAGAACGGTACAAGCCAACTGCAAAAACTATCAACTAACTGGGAATACATGCACGCATGCAACAAACCCTCGCCTTAATTTGTTTTCTTATTTTTTTAAAAGACATCCATGGTCGTGTTTATTTGCTATTTTTTTAAAGTTTTTTTCCCAATTAGCATATTGCAACGGCGCAACATGGATTTGCAGGTTCATATGTTCGTTTCGGTGCATGCTATGAAGACAAAAATACTACTGTTTGAATCATTGAACTGATCCTAATCTATCATATTTCATTACATATTACTCAATTTTCTGGAACAGTGTTAGCTATAATATCTGCACCTTTCGCCGAACATAATCTCAGTCGACGCCTCGGACATATCTTTTTTGCAATATAGTCTCAATCCTCTCTCCTCCGCAAAGGCTTTAGTTTTAATATTACGATGAGATACATTTCACTACACTTTACATGGCGGATCTTGAACACGAGCGTAGCCGCTGGCCGAAGGAGCGCAGGCGGCAAAGGAAAAAGGCGTGGGAAAGCGCCAAGCCTCTGCACGATATGCATCGCAAAGTGGGACAAAGTGTAAACATCGAAACAAAAGGTGATTTTTAAGCTAAATAACATACGCCTTTTTGAAAATAAAATCAGTATTTAATGTATGATTGATTGACCTCATTGACTAGTGCTTGTATCTTTGTGGATGGTCGAAAATAATATTTTTTAACATTACACAAAGCAAAACAATCGTATATTTTACTCACCGCTTGGCCAAACATTCTGTTAATGGAACAATTGCTCTTTTGACCGGCTAAGGAATAATAGTAGACACAGACAGCTTTTGTGTGGGAGAATGGGTTATGGGGGTGAAGTACTCCTGTTACAATAAGTGTCATATCATAAGTATATTTAACCCAATAGACTCTTTGTGGCCTTATATTTTATCCTGCGGGGTATATATAAGGGGTAGGGGTAATGGTCCCTAGGGCTGCTCTGGGGGTTAGGGTCCCTAGAGCTGCTCTGGGGGTAAGGGTCCCCAGAACATATGCCAGAAGGGTAGCGACCCCCTCTGACCGTATTGACCTGAACCAAGGGGTAAGGGTCCCTTGGCCAGTTCCTATAACGTAACTCGACTAATTATCTTTACAATGAATGAGTCTATGGGCATGAAGGTGACCTTTGGGAGCACTTCAACCCCACAAATACAGTAAAGTGTATCTGACACTTGAGTGTATTGCCCATAGACGAGACAATCTACACAAAAATCACAGCTGTTGACATTTTATTTGTTTTGGTTTTGTTGTGTTTTTTTGGGGGGGTTTTTTTGTGTTTTTTTTGTTTTTTGTTTTGTTTGTTTTTTTTGGTTAAGTTACTTGACACAGTGTTAAAATTTGGATGTGTTGGCCAGCACGGCTGATACTCCTGATAAGGTAGATACAGGTGTTTTAATGTAACGTTCGTAACAGTCCGAAGACCATCTTCCCAATGTTTTAATAAGCCACGAAGGTAAGTTTGCTTCGGCTGCAGTTGTTGCAGCCCCTATTCTATAGCTATGACCAGCATAATTTGAAGCATTAAAACCAGATAGAGCGAGAAGCTTACGAGTTTCAGTGGTTAAAACTTGCTTGGTTAGAGGTTTTCCTGAGGCATGGATAAACAGTGGACCAATTGTGGGGGGACGTAGAGAGATGTAATTTTCTAAGGCCTGTACAGGGCAAATTTCAGAGTTGGTTGCGCCAACAGTTATTGTGTGACCCAAGCGAAATGGGTCTGTCTTAGACTCTTTGATGCAAACAGTCATGAATTGTGGGCCTTTTGTACCAATTCGAGGTGGAAAATAGATGCTATCATGGGTAAGATATACATCTTTATTGAATTTGGAGTTGCATGTTAACTCGCCAAGACGAAGATAACCGAAGAAGGCTAATGTCATAGCCGCCCATATCATCAGAGAATCAAAATTGTTGGTATTGGAAATTGCAAGCAGTAGTCGGAAAAGCTTCAGATAGTGGATGGTTATTGGTAGGCGGACTCTGATTTGGTCTCCTTGAGAACGCTTAATCCCTCTAAGAACAAGTTGCAAACGCAACATTTTATGCATGTGCAAATGAAAACCACGACGAATATGGTAGTGGCGGACAGCTGCCAAATATATTTTGATGGAGGCATATTTGATAGATTTGGCAAGGAATGTAATTCATCGGCCGGCAAACATTGCTCTAGTTGTTTACGTTTATGCAAATGGATGAAGCTTATAAAGCGATTTTCACCCGAGGTATATGTTTTATGTGTTGTAGATGCAAGTGATAGATTTATATAATTTGGTATGTCCTCGTTCAGAGAGTCATTAACATTTCTGGAACTTGGCAGCAATTGGTATCTGCATTTGGTGCCAATTGTCGAAACCTCTGAAATTGAGAACGGGAAATTGCATCAGCAATGTCATTATTTTTGCCAGGAATATGCACTGCACGAATGTACATATTGTGTTGCAAGGTTAAGAGTGTTAAGTGACGCATTAAATCCATTACCCGGGGAATTTGGGAACGTTTAGTATTGATTATGCCTACCACAGCCTCATTGTCACAATGAAATTTTATGCGTTGATCAGCGAGTAACTCACCCCAGGTTTGACATACAACAACTATGACAAAGAGCTCTTGCCATGCTATACTTATACCGGGCTGACCTAATTTTTGGTGTGGACGCCATTTTCCCTGAAACCAGGGAGCCGGAGGCATCCGTATGTAAATTTAAAGTATCTGAGGCATGCCACGCAGATGACAAAAAGAAATTGGCACCATTCCACTTGGAAATAAACTCTTTCCACATCCCAAGATCTTTGAAGAAACCAGAATTGAGTTAAATATGGTGATGTGGTTTCTGAACATTTCTTGTCAAATCAATCATGCGTTGAAGGAATGACCGCCCCGGGGGAACCAGTCTACATGCAAAATTTAATGTGCCTATTAATGACTGCAGCTCTTTTAGAGTGCAAGACCGTCTGTGTTGAAATTGCTCAATAGCAGCCTGCAGCCTATCAATTTTGTCAGGAGGGAGTCTAGCTTGCATCTTAATAGTGTCTAACAAAATACTCATAAACTCGATTACCTGTGAGAGGCCTTGTGTTCTGCCCTGAGATATAGGGATATTAATAGTTTGAAAAGTAGACAACATGTGTGTTAAGCTTTGCTGGCAAAGGCTATTGTAAGGAGGCAAGACCGCTGGGGGCTAGATTAAAAGAAAATCATCCAGTATGTGGCACACAAATGAGATATTACATTTATTTAGCAAAATCCATTCAAGGGCATCTGAAAGTTGGATGAAGATGGAAGGGGCACTCCGTAACCCGAAAGGAAGAACCTTATCATAATAGTACTTCCCTTCCCAACACATGCCTAAAAGCTCATAGTCGTCTGGATGGATAGGAACTAACCTGAAAGCCGATTCAATATCAGTTTTAGCAAGAAAGCAACCTGCACCAAATTGCTTAATACCTTCGATAGAATCGTCTATTCTTACATATTGAAGACTGTAATCCTCTTTGGGAATACTACAATTTATGCTGGTTGAGCCTGACTTCGGATACGATAGATGGAAAATTGTACGAAATTTATTTGAATTTTTCTTTGGTACTAAGCCAATTGGAGAAACTTGAAAATTTTTAAATGGGGGACTATCAAACGGACCAGCTATGCGACCAAGGGAAACTTCAGTTGCCAAATTTGAAGAAACAATATCTGGGTTAGCGAAAGCCGTTGGCAAATTCCTTGAAAACCTTGGGGCCCGTTGCCCCTGAAAACCTATGTGCACACCAAATTTAAAGTTATTACAAAGCTGTGAAACAAAATTTTGGTCTGGGTGACCTGAAAGTGCTGTTTTTAAATGTTGGATGGAAATAGTGTAGGGAGTGGTTGGTCTTAATTTCGTTTGGATTTTGAGGAGTTTTGCTCACGTTTTGAATCTCGCTCATCGTATTTGACTGACTTGGAATTGAGCGAGGGACATGCAGATCCAGAATGTTTGCCATTACATGTGTTGCAGAGGTGTTGGTATTGGCATGGCTGACGGAAACACCCAACTCCCCTGTTGAAATTTCGACAGAGGCTTCCTCGAACGCCCCCGGATGAAGCCCAATTGTGGGGTCCATTTGAAAAATGAGGATACTGCTGGACTAAGATGTTTGGCGACCTTGTGAATATCATCAGCCACAACTGCTGATCAATCAGGGAGCAATTTTGACTGGGGTTGAGAGCAGCCTTGCATCGAAATTTATGGTCGTATACACACCACCCCAGTCCACGATGAGTTTGGGCTGCATGGCGTATCAAATTCAAATAATTTAACAATTCTTGGCCCCGACCGGGGAACTTATGGATCATCACGCTCATGTATACAGTGAATGCGGTTGTCCACTGCTCGATATCGGTTATCCTAGAAGTTGGCTGCGACGCCTTTTTGACCTTGATTACTGAGTTTTCGAGAGTTAATATCATAGGCTCGTCGGAGTGGTTATTGGTTGACATGTTTTTTGTTAAAAGTTTAGATAAATCAAAAAACTC